AAAGACTTTTTTTTTTTTTTTTGAAAAAAACATATTAATAGTGTTTCTCTCTTTGTGACTTGAATCCATGAGCTATTAGTAATTACTAATTACTAATAATTAGCTCAAGCGTCTTACCAACAAAGACTTGGACGAGATATTTTCAGTAAAAATAATTAATAATAATTACATAATACGAAACCTAACAGGCAATGGCAGCCCACGGATTACAGAGTGCAGTATATTATTCATTCAATCAGCTCTGCGAAGAAAAAGCGTCAACCACATTCTCTCTCTTTCTCTCTTTGATGAATCCATGGAGTTCTACGCGTACCCGTCTCACTCTTTCCCCCCTTCACCATCTTCCTCAGCGCCAGCAGAATCTTATTCATCAATCGGGTCTGTGGTGAGCAAGATCAAGGATTTCGTCATATTTGCAGTCTCTGCGGTGGTTGGGAACGTTTGCTCTGCAATTCTTACGTTTTTCTTTGCTTTCGGTGAGCGAATTACATCTCTCTTCTTTTCATCTCCCGTTTTAGCTGTTTGTTTTGCTTTAAATTGTGCTCGTTATTTTTGTTGTTTTTGGGCGTGCCCTTTAATCTCCCTCTGTGTGTGTGTGTGTGTGTGTGTTCCACGTGAGTTCCGCAAATCTGGTTCATTTTCAGCCTCGGCGAGTTATTGCTCCTAATTCTTAATTTGGTCTTGGCAGTTAATTTGTTCCTCGAGTTGGGTTCTACTTTCTGTTGTTTGGGTAGAAGAAGAAAAAAGAACACTGTTTTTGGAGTTCTAAAGAAGTAGCTAGGGCTATTGTACTCTAGTGGACAGATCTCATTCTTTTAACACTTGGGTATAGGCTTCATATTTTCACATTTGAATGGCTGGATAAGGGCTTAAAATATTTTTTTGGTTAATTTTTTCCTAGTATTGTTGACGACTTAATTGAAAGAAATTCCTGCCATTTTAAGCTAATGGAGTTGGTACTGCATGCAGTGGGCACCTTATTGGGGGCGATAACGGGAGCCCTAATTGGCCAAGAGACAGAAAGTGGGTTTGTTAGGGGGGCTTCTGTAGGAGCCATCTCAGGGGCTGTTTTCTCAATTGAGGTCTTCGAGTCATCTTTGCTTTTATGGCAGTCAGATGAATCTGGATTGGGGTGTCTCCTTTATCTGGTGAGCGACAAGCATTATCAACCGAGATGATAAGCACTTTTTGTTCTGATTTTTTATTTTAGTAAAACTTTTGAACTTTAAAATCTTTGGATCAATGGTGATGGTTTGAAAACCAAGGATGGATCTATGATCTTCTATCAACGGGTCGATAATATGAAAATAACTTTCAAAGGGGGCAAGCTTTTATGAATTAAGGATTATACATATAAAATATACGTTACAACTGTTTGTCCTATTTTTGTGTCTTTGTTTCATGTTTATTTTCTTTTTGTTATTCCCCATTTGTAGGTTTTTCGTAGCGTTTTTAGTCCATTTCGTTGGTTTTGTAGTTTTCTCTTTGTATTTTTATTCGTGCGTCTTTTTGCTTTGTTTTGCTTCGTGTTTTTCGTGTTTTGTTGCAGGACGTAGGTTTGTAGTTGGTACTGCTTGAACCAAGATCGTGATCATTGAAAACACCCGTTGCCCGTTGCCGAGCCCAGAAGACGACGAAGAAAACTGAAGGATCGAAAAATGGAGAAGGCCAGTTTTTTTTCGCGACTCGCGACAATGTCGCGACCCGCGAGTTTTCCAGAGCTGTTCCCAAGCTCTAGTCGCGAGTCGCGACTCCAATTCTTAACCCGCAACTCCAACAACGTCATCATCACGAGGTGATCAACAAAAATTAAATAAAGCTAAAAAAGGCACAACTAGGGAATAATTTGCAGAGAAAGCAAGGATAGAAAAATTCAATAAATGTCTTAATCATATTCACAGTTAACAATCCAAATCGATTTGTTTCAAAACAGACTCAGGGCAAGTTCTAATCAAATGAGAACACGACCAATGTACCATAAGAAACAAATAAGGCTCAAACCTCACCAGGTAAATATATGAATGTCAACCAAACCATCAACCAAGCATTTCATCACGCTATGCCATATATAACCAACATCACAACTCATCGAATTAATTAAAAGTCTCAACTAATCTTGAATTTTCCATATTACAGGCTCCAAAACACACAAAACCTACACTAGACCGGTCCACCAAACAAGAGAAAGAAATAAAAACATCCTAAAACTAAAAACTAGATCTGGTCAACCAAGTAGCCACATAAGCATGCAAAAACTTCCCCACACTTAAAATCAGACAATGTCGTCAGTGAAAAAAAGTTGTACCACATAATCAATCGACACAACAAAGAAGAGAAAATACAAAAATAAAAAAAGAAAAGCTGACCGAACACAGTGACGAGTCGTTGTGGTCCAGGAGGAGGATAGGGACTGGAGCTCCACTGTGTATCCCACCTGCTGAAACGCTCATCCCACTGGGTGAACCGCTCGTCCCACTGGTTCAGGCGAGCGTGGATCCGGACCTGGTGTGCCTCGATGGCCTGAAAGCGAAGGTCAACGCTCGCGAAACGGGCAGACATGTCCCGTATATCTCGGTCATAGCGGTCCTCGAACGCCGTCCACCACGATGGAAGCTGGGACCACCATGCGGGCGGTGCAGACGACCTCGCCGGTTGCTGCGGCAGACGGGTGGCCCGTGGCTCCCGGGAATCTGGCTCCAGGGCAGGTTGCCACTGAGGAGGAGGCGGAAGAATATGACTGTCGTCGATAGGAACCTGATCGTGCTCCATCTCCTCCGTCTCGTGTGTAGCCTCGATCTCTTGCCGAAGACGAGAAGATCCAGCCTGAGCTGTGGAAGCGGCAACATTCAGCTTCATCATATAGGCGGAATAGGCCGGGCGCTGTGTATAGTCCACAAAGGTATGCCGATCGAGGAGTAGGCCTGAATGACACAGCTCGAAAGAATCAATGAGCCACATCCTAGCAGGAGGGCTGTCAGACGCTACGAGATCAACGTTGAAATGCAAAGTCAGAGCTGTCACCACATGTCCAAAGCAGGCAGCCGCGCGGTTATTCCGAATGACGGCTCGGAGCTCTTCCTTGAAAACATGTAACAAATTTTAGTCCACATAGCCCAAAACACGGTGATGTCATTCTGAGTAACCTTATTAGTCTCCTTCCCGGAAAGGCCATAACACAAAAACTTGTGCATCACAGCAATGACGTCGTCTTTGATGAGGCCATTAGGAAGGCCACGTTAGTCCCAGACCGTGTCGGGGAAAAGCTCGAACCAAAAACGAGAAGGATTCATACCGGCACTTGCCGAGTTGCCGACATCGTGGAGTCCCACGACGCGTTCCATGACGGTGGCACTGATTATCACTCGTTTTTCTAACATACGACACGTCATGTATTCTTGTGCATCGAAATCCCTCGGGAACTCGAGTGTACTGAAGAACTCGAGCGTGAGGTTCCTGTACGTCGGATGGACACGCTTCGCTTGAGAACCTATGCCAACTTAGTCCATCCGACGTACAGGAACCTCACGCTCGAGTTATTCAGTACACTCGAGTTCCCGAGGGATTTCGATGCACAAGAATACATGACGTGCCGTATGCTAGGAAAACGAGTGATAATCAGTGTCGCCGTCATGTGATGCGTCGTGGGACTTGGATCCTTCTCGTTTTTTGTCTGAGCTTTCCCCCGACACTGTCTGGGACTCACGTGGCCTCATCAAAGACGGCGTCATTGCTATGATGGACAAGTTTTGTGCTATGGCCTTTTCGGGAAGAAGGAAGCTAATAAGGTCACTCAGAATGACCTCACTGTGCTTTGGGATATGCTCGGGAATATGGATCGGAATTTGTTGCATGTTTTCAAGGAAGAGCTCCGAGCCGTCATTCGGAATAAGCGCGCGGCCGCCTGCTTTGGGCTTGTGGTGATAGCTTCGCCTTTGCATTTCAACGTTGATCCCGTGGCGTCTGGCATCCCTCCTGCTAGGATGTGACTCATTAATTCTTTCGAGTTGTGTCATTCGGGCCTACTCCTCGATCAGCATACCTTTGTGGACTATACACAACGTCCGACCTATTCTGCCTATATGATGAAGCTGAATGCTGCCGCTTCCATAGCTCAGGCTGAATCTTCTCGTCCTCGGCAGGAGACCGGGGCTACACACGAGATGGAGCATGATCAGGTTCCTATCGATGACAACCGTCTTCTCCTCAGTGGCAACCTGCCCACCGAAGCCAGATTCCCGGGGGCCACCCGTCTCCCGCAGCAACCGGCGACCAGAATGGTGGTCGCAGCCTCCATCGTGGTGGACAGCGTTCGAGGACCGCTATGACTGAGATATGTGGGACATGTCTGCCCGTTTCGCGAGCGTTGACTTCGCTTTCAGGCCATCGAGGCACACCAGTTTGACCGACGCTCGCCTGGGACGAGCGATTCACCCATTGGGATGAGCGTTTCAGCCGGTGGGATACACAGTGGAGCTCCAGAGCCGGCTATTCCTATCCTCCTGGACCACAGCAGTTAGCTTTTATTTTCTCTTCTTTGTTGTGTCGGTTGATTATGTGGTACAACTTTCTTTCACTGATGATCGACAATGGGGACATTGTCTGATTTTAAATGTGGGGGAGTTTTTGCATGCTTATGCGGCTACTTGGTAGACCAAGTCTAATTCTTGGTTTTAGGATGTTTTTATTTCTTTCTCTTGATTGTGGACCGGTCTAATGTAGGTTTTGTGTATTTTGGAGCCTGTACTTTGGAAATTCAAGATTAGTTGAGACTTGTTTAATGAATTCGATGAGTTGTGACTTGTGATGTTGGTTATATATGGCATATCGTGATGAAATGTTTGGTTGATTGCTTTGATTGACATTCATATATTTATCCGGTGAGGTTTACGCCTTATTTGTTTCTTGAGGTACATTGGTCGTATTCTGGTTTGATTAGAACTTGTCCTGAGTCTGTTTTGAAACAAATCGATTTGGATTGAGAACTGTGAATATGATTAAAGCATTTATTGAATTTTTCTATCCTTGCTTTAACTGTAAATTATTCCCTAGTTGCCCCTTTTTTAGCCTTATTTGATTTTTGTTGATAACCTCGTGATGATGACGTTATTGGAATTGCGGGTGAACGAACGCCGGAGTGGAGACGACGTTGGTGAGACTCGCGGGTGGTGCGAAGTTGACCTAGGGTTCGCGATTTACAACCCCTAAACTGCCGGTATGCTTCTCGCGAGGAACCCAGGATGAAAAAGACTGAAACTTGTGGAAGAATTTATGAAATTTTTGAAAATTTAATGAATTTGAGAGGAATTTGATGCTTGAGAGAGCAAAGAAAACGTTGGTGTTGCGTCCAAGTGAGAGGGTTTGATNAAAAAAAAAAAAAACGACGCGCATTAGATATTAAAGCAGGTAAGTCGCGACTTATAAATTGCGAGTCGCGACTGGGAGTCTCTGAAAATGTCGCGAGTCGCAAGAAAAACAGAGAGCGAAGGCATTCCTCGTGGGACAACTCGCGACAGATTCGTGATGATGCGACAGATTCGTGATGATGACGTTATTAGAGTCGCGAAAAAAACTGGCCTTCTCCATTTTTTGATCCTTCAGTCTTCTTCTGGGTTCAGCAACGGGTGTTTTCAATGATCACGATCTTGGCTCAAGCAGTACCAACCACAACCTACCTTCTGCAAATAAAAACAAGGAAAAATACGAAGCAAAACAAAGGCAAAAAGATGCACGAATAGAAATACAAAGAGAAAACCACAAAACCAACAAAATGGACAAAAAACGCTACGAAAAACCTATACCAAAAGGGAAAAACAAAAAGAAAATAAACATGACACAAAAATGGGACAAACAACAACATTATATAAAAATAGCATCATCAACAGTCTAATGGAAGCAATCGCTGATATGTCCTTGCTTGTAGCATTTGAGTTTTGTTTTTGTATTCCTCGTATATGTAGAAAGTCTCATCGATACATCTATCTTTATATTCCTTTCTCTCAAATTTATCATCATTTTAGAAAAGTTAACACGAATTACAGAACCTTGTAAAATGACTGATATGCTCTGATGCCGAGTGTAATTGCGACGTTGCCACTTTCCGAGAGTTGCATCTTTCTCTATCTTTTCAAAACTAATTTTTGCTTCTGAAGCTTGAATAGTACATGTCAATAATGTCTTGAGTTTCTAAAGCCGGCAATTGTTTTTGGGAAGATTTTTGGTGCTTAACATGACAAACATGACTAATTATGTTGGAACGATGGATTATTTGAACTAAATTATATTTTTTGTATATCCTTAAAATGTACAGATTGATGTCATAGCAAGCCTTCTGAGTGGTAGACTTGTACGTGAGCGCATTGGTCCGGCTATGCTTAGTGCTGTACAAAGTCAGGTACAGATAAGGTTATGGTGTAGACTGTAGCCATAAATTTTTGTATTTGACATCAACTAGAATGAATCGTTCTTCTATTTACTCAAGATCCCATTTTTGTTAGTCAGATAGGAGCTGTTGAGGCACCATTTGAGGAAGTCCCCAATATCTTTGACACGGGTGGGGCAAAAGGATTGTTGGTAGATTCAGTGGAAAGGATCCCCAAGTTTACTATCTCTCGAGATGGAAGTCTGGACACATCAGGGGATGAGGCTTCCTGTTCGGTGTGCCTTCAGGTACATTCTCAAGGTTTATTTCCTTATTAATGGGCCCCCATTTTTTCAGCCTGGGGAAATTTATGGTATTCGTCTTTTCGGAAAGTAATTGCTCATTTTCTGCGGAAAACAAGTTTTTTGTACATTTTTGGGTTAAGTTCACCGTTTCTTTTCTTGGATCTAAGAAAGATGATTAATTTTGAAAAATGTGGTATGGTTAGTTGTTAGTGGGGTTTTGATTTTATATTAAATAATATTTAGAATAAAATAATTAAAATCGATTTGATATAAAAGTATGAGTAGATGATATATTAATGGACCCCCATTTTTTCAGCCTGGTGGAATTTATGTCATTCGTCTTTTCGGATAGTAATTGCTCATTTTCTGCGGAAAACAAGTTTTTTGTACATTTTTGGGTTGTATTGTCAAGTTCACAGTTTCTTTTCTTGGATTTGAGAAAGATGATTAATTGAAAACTTGTCTCTTGATTGCTTGATCAATTAAATTTACCGTGCTAATCTTTCAAAAAAAAAAAATAAACAATTGGGCGGCTAACTGTTGGGAGGAGGAGATCCTTTTTCCAACAAACATGCATAATATTTCATAACGACATGTCATACTTTAAGAAACAACATAAAACCATTTGCTTAAATAAAGAACTTACTTGCACAGTTGCACCTGACAATTGCCTAAGTACTCTTGCTATTAACTATCATATATTCCTCAAAATGGCTAAAGTAACTGCACCTTTAAAAGAATTGCTAATAAAACTTTTCCGGGGAAGATGAATTGACCAATTTATCATACCTGCAATTTTTCAGTTTGTATTTAAGAACTACTTTTGGAAAAAATTATCTGAGGCCATCTTTTTTTTCCCCCCCCCCAATATCTAGGATTTTCAGCTTGGGGAGACAGTTCGCCGTTTGCCACATTGTCACCACATGTTTCATCTACCGTGCATCGATACTTGGCTGGTGAGACATGGCTCGTGTCCTTTGTGCAGAAGAGACCTGTGATTTGTNTTCGTTTTATCTTCCATGATCTGTTTGCCGGTTCTTTGGATTCTTCATACTTATTGAATCCCATGGTCTGTCTAGTCATCCCCTTGTAAAATTTTTCATCGCACTTACTACTTGTATGTAAATTTATAAGCACCAGTTTGGGTTTGATTGGTCATTTGTGCATTCAGTATGTGTAAAGCAAATTTTGATTAATGATAGTGTATCATAAATTCCTAATAGTTATTGATCTTTCATGTAGCTCGATCTGTTGGTTACTTGCATTTACTCAGCTTATTGTCGGTTTTATTTTCCTGTTGAAACTCGTGTTTGTTGTTGTTCCTCGACACTAATAGTTTGGGGTGTTAGCTAGGACTTTGGATGAATCAAGAGTGAATAGCTTGTTTTTCTTACTGATCTACATGATTGCATAAAAAGTGTCATATAAGTCTAATCTGTTCTGATTGCCCGTGACATATGAGAGAACTTGTGAAGATGATGCCCGCGAAATATGAGAATTTGTCAATAATAATGTTTTAGAGAAAATTGCCTAGTTCACTACTAAATTTCATTTTAATTGCATATTTACACCTCATCCCCCTTTATATATTAATTCAGAACGTGTTGAGCCTATGTGGCAGGCTCGCATGCTTCGGGATCCTATGTGGCAAAATTACATGATTCGTTATTAGGGTTTGATAGATTTAATTTACTTCTAATTAAAAAACATTTAGGTTCGGATTAAATATGTTGATTATTTATGGTAGAGGTGGACGCGGTCCGGGATGGTCCTGGATTTGACTTGTCCGGATATCGATCCCACTTTTATGAATCGGTCTATGAACGATCCGGGATGAGGCACCGTCCCACCCATGTAATACATGAGTGTTGTACTAGTATATTTTTATTAGCAAAATGACTAAATTTGTCCTGTTTATTTGCATATATACCATAATTCCTTCAACTTTACATTCTCTACACTCCTCCGCCATCTCCAATCTTCTCCATTCATTTTTATTTTTTAAAATTATCCTTGACGCTATTATCTAAATATGAAGCATATTCCACAAAATAGATTGAATTCTCATTGGGGAGCAACGTGAGTCGCGCGACTAGCGGCGGCGTGACGGAGATGTGGGAACGGTGTGGTGGCTGGAATTAGGGGTTTGCATGATTGAGGTTTTTATCTTACATATACTCTTTTAATCACAGGTAAGCTATGAGGACATCAGAACTGCCATCGAGATGAGATTTGAAGCACATAGCTATGGGAAGGAACGACAGCGTACACAAGAGGATGTACAAGTACTTAATCCATGCGAATGTCTTCAAAAAATATGCTCCCTGCTTGATGATATGTCTAGAGGCTTATGCTCTCTAATTGAGGTACTCACCGGGCGAATGATAAATTTCGAGAAAACAAATTTGAGCATGAAGAGGACAATAAAAGAGTTGCTTCCAAAGGTCTCTGCTAACATAAACAATATTTCCAAAACAAAACTGAAGCAAATTTCTCGACTTTTGCAAGACCCGAAAAATTTCAAGGGGGGTCTGTTGTTGTGCTCGACCGCATCCGAAGCCTATCGTGCTGCTGCAAAATGATGGTCTTCCAAGAGCCTTTCGTCCCCTCAAGAATTAACGAGGGATGCAATACAGAAAGAAGTGGAACACGTACTAACAGTGAGTGCTCTAGCAAAAGAAGTGGTGTCGAACTTTATTCCAGAACATGAATTTGATGAAGACTTTGCTCGTGCGTACTTGGAGGATTTTGCAGGAAACAATAATTTTCTATGTATTCCTGATGATGAGCGAGTTGGGCGTTACCAACTTCATTCTAGCAACTCTTATGATGCCAAGTCTGAAAGTATTGGTGAGACAAAGCTGGTAAAGAGAACAAGCAAAAGGGCCTGTAAGGAGTCAAAAGTAGTGGACTCGAGCCACAATGCCAATGGTTTTAAAAGTGAAGAGGCTACAAGCTAGAGGTCCTATAATAATAAGTACCTTGAGGTCCAGGAAGCTTGTGATGCTGCCAGTATGGTGGCCTATCGTTTTGTGGGTCACTTGCTGCTGGACAAGCTTGCGAATATTGAAGGCTTGAAACTATGCAAAGATGATAGGTTGTATTTAGGAGGGTCATTCTGATTCTGAAGGTAATGTGATATTATTTGTATCTTTTTAGATTCATGTGATATTAATTATTGGGATCATTGCTTAGTTTTTTCCAGTCATATTTATGTTTGTCTGCTTATCTGGAAGTGGGCATTTTTCAATTTGATTGCTGGTTATTTATTCTAGTTCCCAAGTTTTTGGGACGTGTTTAATTGCTACTGGTTATTATAAAAGAAAAAATTGATTCAAAAGAAAATAAAAGAAAGAAGAAGAGTAAAAGCCGCAGTGAACGAAACTAACCTTCCTGTTTTTTTGGTCTCATTCAGTAATTCTCAATTCTTCATAATGGAAAGAAATGATGAGTGGTACACTATATTAACACAATGATCCAACTTCTCCAGCAAAAATACATATTTTTTAAAAAAAAAAAAAAA